AAGTCCTTGTATTCATTTATTTTTGGAGCTGTATCCTGAAATATTTAGGAGTAACTAGAAAATGGTCCCCAAATCACATATACAGCTTGGTGCAGTGGTACATTTCTGTACCACCAGGAGGCGGAGGCAGGAGGATCACTATGAGTTTGAGGCCAGCCTGGACTAAGTAGAGAGTTCAAGACCAGTCTAAACTACATCGCAAAATCCTGTCTCAAAAACAAAACAAACAAACAAAAAAAATTACAGGTACAAATTAATGCTATCTGACAAATGTCGACCAGGGTTGGATTAACATGAGAATGGCTTCCTCGATGGGTATGCTTGGATATTTTCACTGTAACACGTTAGGAAAAGAAGACAGCAGGACAAATCTCAGAAGAAGGTATATTCTACATGTGCTAGACGGGAAAGCCTGAAACCTATTCTGACCCATCAGTGGAGAAGAGTGAACTTGTTATGAGATAAATCGCCTCCTCCTGCCTCTGCCTTCCAAGTAGCTAGAACAACAAACACCACGGTAAAGGGGCACCTAAAGTAAAACTAGGCCTGTAGGACAGGCCCTGATCCGCATGACTACTGTCTTTTTAGAAGAGGAAATTGGCCAGGTGTGGTGGTGCATCTCTGTAACCCTAGCACTCTGGGAGGCTAAGGCAGGAGGGTCACAAGTTCAAGCCCAGCCTGGGCAACTTAGCAAGACCTTGCCTCAAAATAAACAGGGGCTGGAGACATAGCTCAGTGTGACAGTCCTGAGTTCAATAACGAAGAAAAAGGGAAATTTGAGCATATTGAGAGAAGACAGCACGAAGAGACAGAGAAGACAGCGATCTACAGGCCTGAGAAAGGCCTAGGATGGACCCTTCCCCCCATGGGCCTCAGCGGGAACCAGCCCCACCAACATCTTGAACTACAGCTTGGAGCCTCCACAGCTGTGAGAAAATACACTGCTGCGCTTTAAGATTCCCAGTCCAGGGTAGTGTGTGTGTGTGTGTGTGTGTGTGTGTGTGTGTGTGTGTCACTGGGGTCACAGGCATGGCCACCGTACCCAGCTCTAGGGTATTTTCTTAAGGTGACACGGGGCCTCAGTTCAGACCACTAGAACAAACACCTCGGAGTCGGTAAGTCACAGAGTTTACGGCTCGGAATTCTGGAAGCTGGGAGCCAGAGATGAAGGTCCCGGCAGGTCTGGTGTCTGGGATGGTAGCTCTCTGCTTCGGGGATGGCGCCTTCTTGCTTGGTCCTCACCTGATGGAAGGGTGTCCCGTGCTCTCTTCAGCCTCGAAGAGAGGAAGGACCTGAATCCCATCTGTGAGAGCCGCGTGCCTGGGAAAGGCCCACCTGGGAATACTGTCGTGTTGAAGTAGGTTCCAGCCTGTGACTTCTGGGAGGACAGACCGCAGCGTGGTGAACTAATGCAGAATTCCTCTTGATTTGCCCCCAAAGCCCAGGGATCTTTCCATACACGCTCACCTGTCAGGTCCCCCACACCATCCTGGAACACAGAGCTCCAGCCCATGGGAAAGCAGGTTCCCAAGCAGGTGGTGGCACTCACACGCTCCCAGCTTCCCGAGCACTGCACACATAAACACCTGCAGTGCAAGTTGACATATGTTGGTCCTTTATCTTTCCTGAGTGCTTTCGGGTTTCCTACCTTAGAAGGTAATAAGGGGTGTGTGTGTGTGTGTGTGTGTGTATGTGTGTGTTGTGAAGGGGGGACTCTAGCTATAAAACTGATGTGGCTTATCTTTATACTGATTAATATCTTTATTTATACTGTTTATACTTAGAGATACAACTACAGCTGAGTGTGGGGGTGCACACCTGTAATCCTAACACTCTGGGAGGCTGAGGCAGAAGGATCAAGAGTTAGAGCCCAGGTTGGGGCAAAACTTAGCAATTTAGCAAGACCCTGTCTCAAAATTTTTACAAAAAGGCTGGAGCTATAACTCATTGAGAAATTCCTGGGTTTAATCTCCAGTACCACAAAAGAGAGGAAGGAAGGAAGGAAGGAAGGAAGGAAGGAAGGAAGGAAGGAAGGAAGGAAGAAAGGAAGGAAGAAAAAGAAATACAATTGATATTGATATTCAGGTGATATGTAATCATATTCAATAATTTAAAATATTTCATTAAATTCAGGCTTGATAAAAGCCTCCCTCCTCTCCACCCAAGCCCTCTCCGGCGATGCCCATAACCCCATACGTCCCAGGTTAATGGCTGCACTGAGGGTCCTCTCAAGCCCACTCCAGCAGTCTTGACCTCCAGCCTGAAGAGAGGACACTGCCCCTTCCCTTGTCACCTGCTCTCCAAGGCCATCCCTGCTTAGCACGCTGTTAACACTGCTGTCTCAGCTCTTTGTCATATCATCTCACAACAACCCCAAAACATGTGCTACTAATATTTTCTTTCCTTTCCCTGAAGCCCAGAAACATTAATTAGCCCAAGTCTACATAGCCAGAAAGGAGCAGAGTTCTCCATCTTTGAGGTCTGACCTCTGTGCTGAATTGGTGTGGCAGAGCCCTTTATCCACAGAGAAGGACAGAGCCAGCATCGGAGAATTCCGAGCTGCAGCCCCAGAGCGCTGGGCAGCTTGGGTGAGATCTTCCCCAGACGCAGACTCTGAGGGCGCCCGCATCATGGTCAAAACTCACAAGTGTGTGGTGGTGCACACCTGTAAACCCAGCGCTCTGGGAGACTGAGGCAGGAGGGTGATAAGTTTAAATCTGTACAACTTAGCAACTTAGTGAGACCCTGCACCAAAACAAAAAAGAAAGGGCTGGGGATGTAGCCCAGCGAGAAAGCCTCAGGTTCCAGCCCCAGTACCAGAAAAATAAAAACCAGTCACAAATGACAATCACCCCTGCAGCTAAATAAAGCTGCACAGTGGTTTGGGGGCTCCTCCCTGCAGAAACGGAAAAGCGCAGGGACCCACAGGACCCACCCCACCTGCAGTCGTGGTCCCCTGTGGGGGGCGGAGCAGAGCTGAGCACCTGAGCGCAGCCCGCTGGGCTGTTTCAGAGCAGCCGCCGACATCTGTGCCGTGCTCTGAGGAACACCTGGGCGCTCGGTGAGGCTTTCTCAGGAGCACCTGAACTCACTGACAGCCTCATCACCGCGCTCGCCCCTTCACCCTGACTGCCTGGTGACTTCGCATTTGCCTTTCCCATGGCGCTTAACCCTGGTGTGACCCAAAGACTCTGCAACCCCAAAACCCAGCCCTGCTAGCCAGCTGGCCCAGGCACAATAGCACTCGGAGAGCAGTCATGGGACTGAGCCAGAAGAAAACCTATTCATGAGAGGAGCAGCTGGCAGCTGGAAAGCAGCCGGCCAGAGAAAGGCAGCCGCCCCTACCTCCTACCGACCCGATTAACTGCGGATTTCAGAGCCGTCCCTGAGCCTGCCCGACCCCAGGCCCCTGCTAATGAGGGCAGCCAGGCTTATCATCGCCTCTCCGCCCTCCCTGCGGCTCCAAAGGGCGCCAGGGGACAGCAGCTTTGGGACGCGGGTGGTGCAGCGGGGCGGGCCCGGGCCGCCAGCGTCAGCTCAGAATTCCCTTTATCTCACCCCGCTGTCCGGCGAAACACCAAAGATTCCCCAAGGCGTATGTTGTTAGTTTTATTTTTAAAATTTCACAAGTACTATCATATGTTTTCATGATTAAAAAGCAGAAGACCAAAAAGCCGTCTATAACCAGCACATAATCGCTTAATGTTCGGTGTATATGCACTTCTCATACACGCAAAACACAAAATATGACTCAACAGCAGATCGTCAGCATTTCCAGGCAGTAAACCCGCCTCGCCCACGCCCTGCTAAACGGCAGGCAGCAGTGTGTTTCGTCGCAGGCGTACAGGAGAGTGGGTTAGCCACGGGGTGGCGGGGTGTCTGTGTTCTGAGTCGGGGCCTCGGTAGTTCAGGCTCGCTCTGCACTTGCATACATATTGCTCCCTCACACTCCACCTCAGGCAAGTCCCAGTGTTGTGTGAGTCCCTGCCCACAACGCCACTGCCCCTGCCTCAGCCTTCGGACCACACTGGGAGGCTGAAGCAGGAAGATCACCATGAGTTCAAGGCCGGCCGAGACTACATAGAGCCTACCTCGAAAAACAAATACACTGCGGAGACCGGGCTGCGGCAGGGCGGGAAGAGAGGCGCGCCTCCGCGGTGCCTGGGGCTGGGGCTGGGGCTGGGGCTGGG